TTTGTGTCTAACCAGTCACTATTTACTTAAAAATTCTATAGAATAACCACAACATGTAGAAGAACTTCAGTTGTACTTACACAGCACAGAGTGTAAAAACAGGGCTGTGAACATTTTACCGCATTAAAGCCCTTTCATCGCCCAATTCTTCAAACTTATGATATACAGAAGTTGCCCTCAGCAGATGCCAGTATGCGTATGTTATATATAGTTCTTGACTTAATAAGAACGCCAACGCGACAAATTGTGCAACGTATTAAAACTCTTTTGAAGTAGGTGATATGACACATGATGATACTTGATCGCGTCTCACTGACATAAGTGACCACTAGTTTTTTTTTCTTTATTGAAGGACCAATGAAGCTAAAGGCTTTTTCTACCAGGTGCAGAGTAATTTTTCGCTTCAGCAAAACAGGATATTCACTACAATAAGTTATTATTGAAATAGCTATATTAGTTTACATTTTCTTATGGCGCAAGTTATCATAAGTTGATAAATACGTTTTTAATAAAACTAGTTCAAGAATCATGTTTAAAGTTAGAAGTTTTATGTCAATCAGTATTTTTCCCACCGGAAGCTTTATCGAGTACCCCATGTGTTCAACTGCACGGATGGAAGAAATTACCATCTATCCATTAAGGAAATGAAGCTGCTCGTTGTAATTGGTAACATTCATATCGTATGGCAATAACTTCACCGGCGGGACTGATCCTGTAATACATGTATGGGGAATAAACCAGGGGAAGTAGGAATTCTCTGAACAGTGAATGTTATGGGAACAGGGATTAGTCAGATTAGACAAGGGGAGGGAGGGGTTATAATAACTGATTCATTAATTCGTTACAAAGAAAATAAGTTTTTGACCTTTTACCAGTCAACGTTTTGATGTTTGTTCTAACTACTTATCTCACTGCTCATCGGATCTAAATTATTGGCAAACACGCTTTTTCTGATTAAGACCCTTTCACTGCAGCTGAGCATCAGCTGTCTAGAGAATTGGCTGGTGACAGTATTTTAGGTTTTAAAATAATCAAGGATACTGCTAACTCGCCGCACAAGCGCGTTTATTTCTATCAATGTCAATAGATCTGAAGAGATTTTTTTTTCCTTTTGGCATCGATTAAAATTAGTCTAAAGCAATGTTCATATGGTATTGTGTTCTTGTGATCCTTGATAATGCTGTTAAAAGCTGTTTCGCAGACTGTCAAAAAATTGTGAATCATATAGAAATGAAAATAATATCTTGAAATACCCCAAACTACACCTCCTCCATTATTCTTATCGTCTCTTCCAGTGTCTATCTCATGGAAACTTTGACGGGACAGGCATAAGAGGGGAGGGGAGTGGGTAGAGTGAGACCAGCAATATGCCTAAATACTTTATACATAACTTTATGTCCGTTAGGATTTCCGGATAGCATGGTGGTGTTAGTTTATCCGTGGAAAGCATTTTTGTAAGTCAGTAATTAAGCAGGGATGACGAAGGTTTAACGCTCAAAACTGCAGCTTTGAACCCTTTACGGTATCATCTCAGTTGATAATACTAAATTATCTGTTTTCTCCTGTAATCTTTGAAAAAGTGCTTTACTTCCCTTTACATATCGTTTTATTCTCTCTTAGCCTAATAGTTATTTCTTTTTAATTCTTCCTCTGAGAATCACGAGACAATAATCTCCAGCTGTTGTATCAGGTCATGCTGTCTCCTACTTAAGTTAGAGAAGAATCAGGTAAAAAAATTGAAAATATGACCTCAGATTCATCTACCAAGAACACTTGGGAAAATATAAAACGGATTGATTGATGATCCAGGAAATATTTCTGTTGTTTCATTGATGGTTTCTTGCGGTTTTCCTCTCCATAAGGATTGTACTGTTTTAATGGAAATCAGTATGACTGTCCTCGGGAATGATATAATAAGATACTCACTTTTTACCTAAAACTAAAAAAAAATGAAGAGGTTATTAAATGTACTATGACACCTACATAGTAACCTTTCTAAAAAGCTTTAAAAAAGAAAAATTTCAGTAAAAACACGGCTGGCTAACCGAGTGGATAAGATGCACATATCTCGTACATAAATAATTATTATTCCAGTGTAGGTATGATTACCTGAAAAAACATATTGCCCACGTAATGAATATTTTATCAAGCAATTGAAGCTTGTTTGGCCAAGATGGCTGATTGTAATCGGCCTCTTTCTTTTGCTTTTGTTCTCAACGTTGCTGTTGTCACTTTTGTTTAGGTTGTGATATGGAACGAGGAAAGGCACTTAAAACTAACTTAATTACTTGCGCAGATTTATCCGCAGTTGCTTCTTCACCAGAAGATTCTGCAACTACTATCTGCCACCTGCAGGTTGAACAGCAGAACATTTAATGATATCAAACCTTGGGCGGGAACTAAGGCCAAGAACTTCACAGCTTTTGGGTAGCGCAAATACATTGGTCGATGCTGCGCTCTCCCTGGTGTGATATTACTTGTTCGCTTAATGGGAATTGATTTGACAGACAAGTGCTGAGCCCTCATCAGGAGGGGCAAACATCAGAGAATTGCGACTCCCTGTGACTACTAAGTATTTGTGATATTACACCTGCTTTTAATTTTCTTCCTCTAGGGTTCAGAAAAGACGCTGAATCCATGTCATGACTTTTAAGTCCACGAATATGCGGCCTTTTGGTTTATTTATTTGGTATACAATTCACTAATCCACAAGCAGGTTTTAGCTAGCTCACCAAATAAAGTTGTGCATAGAACAGTCGAGGTGGAGAATTGGCGTAAAGGGCCTTAAACAGACTGGACGACAACGCAAAAGAGTTAACTTAGTTCTCTAAAGACGAAAAAATTCATAATTTTCTAATGAATTTCTCAGATGGAATAATGAGTTTGACGTCGCTACAATGGCGCCATTTGTCGACAATCCTAAAACAGCCACAACAAAGCATTTGTAAGCAGCGTTGAATTAAAAAAAAAATATAATATTTCGCCCGCGGGTTCCGTTCTCAGACCGCAAAAAATGTGATAATTCCACCTTGCTGGTTTGCAAAGACCGGTCAGGGAATATAAAAGACCATAAAACACACGCGCACAGCTATTGCTTTGCTCCTTAAAAGCTTATGTTTTGCCCCTTAAAAGCTTTTGGTTTGCCTCGTTTTCACTGCCGTCGCCGTCGTGGTTTGCTTAAGGTCACTGCTGGCGAGTAAAGGACTCTATTAGCTTTGAGCCTGGTGTGGTATAGCTTGCTTAGGAACTTCCTGTTAATAGCATTGTTGTTGGGTTATTCGACCATAGAAACGGAACTTGCTGTGGTTGTTATTCACAAGGTTGACTAGGGTTTTATTTCTGCAACTTGAGAGGAATCCTTTGTTTGGCTTGTTGATAGACTCTTTAGATCAGAGTAGAGTTAAGCCAGTTAAACGGAGGCTGTATTCCTCATTGTTTTCTGTTGGACAGAACTTCCAAAACTACTTACATCTTCCTGTCTTTGCACGCGGATGACAATTCTTAAGGAATGTTTCAACTCGTTGATCCGAAATGTTGTCAATAACGGGTTCACAGTTGAATTTAGAAATAAGAATACCACTGAATATTCTCTCAGCACGATAAGCCATTTCTTTCCGCGACAACCAGAACAGTTCGCCTCAACAAGCATTGATGCAAAGTATGGAATTATGGAGATGGTTAGGAAAAGCAGACTTAAGAAGGGAGTCGTGACAAATTTCCGTTCTCTTTTAACACGCGCTATCGCTCGCATGTCACCAAGATGAGCATTTGTCGAATTGGCCTCCCGTCTTTGAAAATCGACTCGAGCGCGTTTCCGCAAAACAAAGAATATTCCTAAATGAGACAAACTTGTCGTGATAAGCGGAAATGTTCGTGTGCAAATGTATATCTATGGAAATATACACATCAATTGGAATCCCAGCAAGTTGGAGGCAGGAAAAAATCGCAGAAAAAATAACGATGATTGAGTTACATAAGACAAGTGTCTTTGGTTTAACCGTGTTTAGATAAAAGTGTGGGCAAACGACCGATGCAATACTCTTATCATGACATCAGACCCTGAAATATTATTTTTGCCTAATAAGGGATTTTTTTTCGGAAAATATTCGAACCTACAGGAAAGGATACGTATAACAGGAATACATGATCTTATATGAATTGAATGTCCAAGAACCTGAAATGCATATCAGCCGCGCAACTTACTTCCCCTCCCTTGCTTTTTCATTTAAAATAAGGTGTCCAAACCTACTCCCCTCTAGGGGACAAAATTAAACGAAATAGACGTGACGTAATTTGCTATACTCCTGAGAATTTATGTTTCCTCAAACTTGTTCCGGTGATAAGCAAGAAGTGGCAAATGCGAAAAATCGCTGTAAGAGTTCTCACTTGTGTATATGCATTCATATTACATCTATCGATGCTGACGTTTTCTCTAACTAGTTTCCATTCCAACATTTCAAGTAATACACTTGATCTTACATATTGATTCCGGGAAATTTGAGCATATTTGGTCATTTTCCTGACATGGATAAGAAAAAAAAGGTAAAGAAAAAAATAATGTAGCTTTAAAAAATAACAATGATGACTAGATAGGTGAATATGTATTTATTATACATTGGTTTATTTATCCATTATTGCTATTCATTGTCACATTCAATTTGATTACGTATCTGACTTATTATATAGAACACGAAAACAGATTGAAGAACGGTAAAATCGTTGATATGTATTTTTAACACAATTTACAGGCAATCAAGCTTTTACACAGTTTTTTAATTTGGCCGAACCTAAAACTCAACAATAAAAGTACAGACATTGTGGTTCCAATTTATCCAAGCTACCTTTGCAAAGAGCCTACTTCCTATCGAAACAGATAGACCCATGATTTTCCAGGATACCGACTGGGGCCCTTCTTAATTACAAGTAAAGTCAACAGCTAATAGCATTATAAAAACGGTTTATTCATGTATTTATGTCATTACGTTAATAACCAGAATGGCCCTACCTTACTGAGAGGGGGAGAGGGGGGGCATCGTGGTCTATTAAACCGCAGAACCGAAAAAAAAAACATTTAAAACCGCGACAAAAATTCCCTAAAAGCCGAAAATCGCCTCCAAAACCATCAAAACCGATTTTTCACATCCTAGGTGTCAAAACCCTAATCGATCCGATACAGTTGACAGATGGAGCACAAAGAGGTTTCACAGCTATGTGAGATCCATGGAGGCAAAAAACTGCCCTCAGATCGAAGAGGAACTGGAACCCAAATGGGAAAAACCGAAAACTACTTCGGATACCAAATCTAAAAACCTATTAGTACTTTTGATGAAAACCGAAAACCAAGTGCCAAAATTCGGAAATACGCCAACCACAATAAACACCAAAACTGTAAAACCGAAGTTTTTTTGGCACATAATCGAAGAACCGATCTAAAAAAAATGACCAACACCGTAAAACTAAAAATCCCAATGCCCCCTTCCTTACTGATACTACGATACTAACCAGGCTCTACTAAGGAACTACTAAGGGAAGATCATGCTAATTAAGTGATTGCCAATCACTAAAAGAGGATTGACGAGCCTCACCGAGGCGCAGTGCTTTTATGCATCGAAAGACTGCATTTCGACTGCCTGTATTTTCCCGGCATCACTTGCGTTAACTCGTGAGTTTTTCCTTGCAGAGTTTCCAACTTCGGAAGATGGAAAAATTGCGTTCATCCTCCTTTTCAATCGCTCTCTAATCTGTAGATGAACAATTGGCCAAGTATCAGTTCTTAACCATCCAAAGCTTAGCGATTCTAAAGTCTTCACAATTCACTTGATCTACCTCCTCAGTTTGATATCTTTCTTACCTGGCTGTTTCGCACACAATGGAAGAAAAAAATCAGGAATCCCTAGGACAGAAAATTATTTTAAGATCAGCCTTTTTTAGAGATGGTAGCGCGTCGTTTAAAAAGTTTGATGTAGTGCAAACATCATGTAATCTATATCTTGAAATCGTCGTAAAAAAAGGGTAAAACAGTAAATTAAGGAAAGTTGCAGATCTCAAAAACCAAGAAATAAATCCTCTCTTGTCGACTAGGTTCCCTTTGAACGGGAAATATCATCAGACTAATGTAAGAATGTAGTTTGGACATTCAAGTTTCCAAACAGATGATCAGATTTCCGACATTTTCATTAAAATCTCACCTGAGTAGAATTGACGATGGTGAACATGTAGGCGAAAGCTTTTTGTGATGACGACTAAAGACCGAATACTCACCTGAGTAGAGTTAAAGATGGTGAAAATGTAGGCGAAAGCTTTGTGCCATGGCGACAAAAGACCGAATAGCCACGTTATACCCATCAGTGGAATCATCACCGCGCATGTTTTAAAGCCAAGTCTGCCGGAATAACGACAACATTAAAAAAACGTTTGAATTATTTTGACGATTGTTTCCTTTAATTTCTCATTGTTTAATAGGCATTATTTAGAGATGGTAAAAACACTTAACAGTAGCCCTAACCCTAAGACACTGATGACTCTGTGTTTAATGTTAACTAGTGTGGAGCTGAGGTAAATATCTCACAATTAGATGCTTCAGCAATTGGTTCACGTTTCTTCAACTTTTTTCCCTCCACTGATTAAAATATTTCGCTAACAGCAAATTTTAAATCTAACCGTATCTGCTTAATATGATTGTCTTCCCCCATAGGTTGCACTAGCGTGGTCATCTCTTTTATGACTCGGACGAGTATCAAAATGTTGAGCTGAAACAAACAAGGAATGTCAAATGTTGGCAGAGTGCTTGTTGCTAAGACGAGTAATGCTGAATACATAGTGAGCGTAAACGGAGTTGGAAAGGTTGTGAGCTTTGAGCCTGGTAGTCGAAAACAGGAATATGCTTTTCGTTTTGTAATAAGCATGGGAACGAGAGAGACAATCTCCACCAGTGGTCAGTCTTGGCATGAAAAAGGAAAATGCAAGGGATTGACTAATTGTAGACTCACCACTTCAACAAAAGCCATAAATGCGGCGAATATCCAGATGAGGTTGTTTGTGTAGGATAGCCAGCAACTTTAAACGAGAAACGGAGAGAAAAAAAGATAAACATATTTTTGCTGCAAATAATCCTCTAACCCAGTAACCCAGAGAAAGAGAAGAGAGGGAGGGAGACCGAACGAGAGACAGAGACAGAGACACAAAACCTGGATAAAAACACAGGGACACAAAAATCTACGAAATGAAAACGAACTAAAAACACAAGATTGTGCAAAAAGAGTTGTACTTTAAAAAAATACATTTTTGTGGGAGACAGGAAATGTGGAGAAGGAGAAAAAAGAACTAATGTCGAAGGATTCTCTTACTATTTATCACTAGTGAAGCTTTCTATTCCATCTTTCCCAGCAGCGATGCACAATGAAATACCGACCATGACGATGGGTAAACCTAAACATAAGTAGGATGTCAATGCAAGTCGATTCAGGTGATCATGAAGTCAAACAATTCAAAACAAGTAAAATGAAAATACCCCATGACATGACGTGATACATGTGCATCTTTTCGGTGATGTTGTAAACTTTGACCACAAAGAGGTAGAGGTAAAATCCCTCCACCAGCATCCAACAGAACGAAGCCATCAGGAAATATTGCATGAAAGCTGCAGCTGTAATACAAGAGGCCTGAGAGAGAGGAAAAAAAGTTGACTACTTTTCATGCATCTTTTCAAAGAGATCTGGTGTACTTCTTAATGCTCGTCTTGAGTCTCGTTAAACAAATATTCATCAATGGATGAAGAAGTCGCTTACCTTGTTTTTTGTGGCGTTTATCCCGACGAGAAAAATAAATTGTCCAGCTCCGAGGGCAACAGAAAGACTCAATCGTATTTGTGACAGAGGCTGGTGAACATCTCTAGAGAAACAAACAAATAAAAACAAGCAGACTAAAACAAAACAAAACCGAACAAAATAAAGGAAAGTAACTTTATGTTCCAACAGGTAGTTGTTTCAATATGCATTGACTGAGTGTCTGTCTTTTCGCGAAGAGGTCTTACTTACGTCTGACATCTTTAAAATAATATAAAGTTTCAAAATTTCTGGCTGTAGCACTTACGTAAGGAAGGAATATAGAATAACTGTCAAAATTATTCCTATGATTGACAGGCTTAATCCCACGTAGGTGATAATCTCCAGAACAGTTTCGTCTTCCTCAGTGAGCTGCTTCATAAATCGCATGAAAAGAATTAGAAATGTGTCAATCACCTGAATGGAATTGTATTACCACCAGTGAAGGTAAGGTAAACATTAGTCCATTACCCCTGAGCTGCCGTTGTAGTCAAGTAAGACAGCAAAATGAGTCAAATGATTGCAGCTGCACACTGTTTCTTCTGTGTTGCTTTGCGATGCAACCACATGGCATCCTCTCCCTGAAAATCCTTCTGAGCTGGAAAAATAACGACAACGTTAAAAAAAATAACACAACAAAATTAAAACAATAACAACAATATTATAAAAAAAATTTTGAAGAAGACTTTTGGTTACCAAAAGGTCAACTTGCTATCTTCCTCATTATAATCGTAGCCTCGAGACCAAGTTGACCACTTTCCATTTTATTCAGTAATTGATACGTGCTACTCATGAAGTCGGCTTTGATATTCTAACTGTTACAATGTGATGAAAAGGTATATTGACGATCCAGGCTAGTAAAACACAACTGAATCTTACCTTATGTGAAGAAAATTGAAAAACGGAAAAACAGAAAAAAACAAAAGGCGAACTTTTACTTTTACGGTAAACAAAACGATTTTGTCAGCAACAATATGTAAGAGGATGGCACAAGCGAAAAAAGGCGACAACCGCAAATGAAAACGAATAAAATGCAGATAGAAATGGCTTCAAAACAGGAAGTATCAGATTGACAGTGACGGATAATTGATAACTTAAGGGAAAGTCATGCCGGCATAATAATCAACTGGGGGCTTTTCCACTCGTATGTTGTTGAAATTTTTTTGGTTTTTCCTGCTGCAAGAGCTGATTGGTGTTTCCTTCACAAACAAAAAATTCATAGCAGTTAACAAAGATTACGTAAGATTAGCTTGCATAACTTCTAGAACAAGGTAGTAATATATTTCAGCTTGTTACCTTTTGCTAAAGCCCCTCCAAAATACACATGTCTTTTCTCTTTCATCAACCTGAAAATGTGTATTATTTCATTGGAATAAATAAACACAATGTAGCGCAATTGATACCAATTTTAATCGTGTTCTTACCTTCAGGTTTCTGAACTTTAACATGACATTCGCTTCCAGTTTGTTTGGTTTTGGATCCATAGCCACGGCCATTATCCTGGAGTTCAAATACCTGTCAAAAAAAGACAAGAAAATCATAATTTTGTATATTTTGAATCGTATAATTTTTAGACAATTTTTGACGATACGGTAACCATGGTAACCAAGGAGCTCTTACTGTGTTACTTTAAGCTGATTTCCTTGACACCGAAAATAGTAATTGATTCACACAGGGACCACGAAATACTGCTTTGAAAAATTTAAGAAATTTTGTTGGTTGAATTCAATGCATTTCTTTGTTTTCCGCGGAAGAAACAATTTGTTTAAAAGTTTAGAGAAGTTAAAATTCACCTTGTGGCTTCGCCTGCTTCATTTCTGATGGTTTGATTTGTGTCCAGTAGTTCGTGGAGATCCTTATACACAATCCCAACAACCAGTGAAACTTAAAAAAAGAAATTGAGGAAGAAAATAAAATCAAGCCAGAACATGGTCTTTCATGAAACTTCAGATAACTGAATCAAATGTACTGTGTAAACAAACAAACAAACTCAGAACTATGTATATGCGCAGCTGTACTTCAGTACCACTTAAATTTGTCAGGGAAATACAGGGAATTGTACTTATCCATTGAGGAGTAAACACTGCAGTCTATACCAACCGGATTTCGCAAAATTTGCAGACGAAACATTTATGTTTCCTTGCGATTCTTCATCCTCAAAGTAGAAGTCACTTGCATTTTGGTGGTAGGCTTTATGAATACCCAGCACTAACGAAGAAAACAACAGGTGATGGTATTAATAATTTCACCACACTTGCTGGACTGAAAATACAGTCTGTATATCATAGTTGCATAAACGCTTTTATTTACTTTACCTCTCAACAGCACAATCCTTTAAATATTGTAAAATAATTGATGACAAGACGTCAGCATTTTGAAGGGTTCAGATCGCTGGATATTATCATCCAATTCCATAATGATTGATGAACACAAATAGTCAATGGAAGGACTGAATGGATCGATTGATCCAGCACTAAAGCTTCGCATTCAGTAACCTATATCAATTTACTACATCATCAAGGCCTATAGATTATACGCTGTTTAAACTCACCCATTGTCTGGTTGTCGATCACTTGTGAGGACCTTGTTCCAGTCAGGTGGAGCTTGCTGTATTTAAGAGCAAATTCTTCAAAGGCGATAGCCACTTTAAAAGTGGATCCTCTTCTTGTCTCAATCTCATCTGTTATAGGGGCGCGGTTACGAGCTTTTGTGATTTTTTTAATACCTGTGATGAATATTTCCAAAACCGCTATGGCTTCCTGTAATGACATGAAATATTTTTGTTTAGGTAAGGTGCTAAGCATTTGTGGTAAGAAAATAAAAAAAAATCATTACAAATAGATAAGAAAATTATTCAAGCGAGAGAGCCAACCAATTTCGGACACAAATGCATGTGCACAGGTTAGAGATCGACTAGACCAGGAAATCAAAATATTTTACTTGGAGGATAGATTATTCAGTTTTCGTCTACGAATTTAAAAAAAAAATAACAATCATACCGGTAATTACGATAATAATAATACTGATAACGATAATTTATCTATAAAAATTCCTAAAATAGCTTTCTTACAGGCGAGAAAAACTATACAGGTTAACGTCTTAATCAAGTAAAAAGTTATGAGCCATTAATTTAATCTTTTACTGCCACGAGCAATATGAGACGAAAGCAGAAAAACTAACAAACAAACAAAAAATTATTTATACGCTTAATAAAAATTCGTATTTGCGGATTCCGTTTGAACATTCAAAACATACTGACTGGAACTTCAGTTCAATAACTGCGTATAGAAATTAGAAGAATGAAATACCTGTAAGGAACTGGCGTTGGTGATATTCATTCTGCTAAGTTTAGAAACATATTCCGCCGCCTGAGGTAAGGGAAATAACATTTATAATTATAGAGTATGAGGATCCTAAAAGTAAAAAAACAAAACAAAACAAAAACAAAAATTACACACCAGCTTTTGAATCCTTGTTGACTGCAACGCCGATGATGATGTCGATGGCAATAATGACTGCGATGGCGAGAGCGCGGACGAAAGCAAGTGAAGAGGTGACCGCAACGAAGGAAACTGAGACTGTGACTGAGGTGACTGTGAAAAAGGTGACTGAGACATCGACAGAGACAAAAACTGAGGCATCGACTGCGACGGCGTCTGCGACACAGACAATGACGGTGATCGTGACGGCGAACGCGATGGAATCAATGATGACCACAGAACTGGCGATGGAGTGGGTTTTGGCCTTATAGATTCGGATGGTGAAGATTTTTCTGCAATTTTGAATGAGAACAATGGTGGTGCAGCTGAAATCGACACAAATAACGCCAACAATAATTACTAAAGAAATGTTCTCAGAAACAATTTTTTCCCATATTGTTTTCTATACTACATTTTAAGTTCAATTTATATTCGTTGAAGTAAATTAGTTCAGTTTTTTTTTTTATCTTGAACTTTTTTTTTTAATATTTAGTCCTTAAACTGTCTTCACGCGTTTTACAAATAACTCTCAAACTCGGGAAAGGACGGCAAATAATTGAATCGCTTTCTCCGTTGACTGGCTCATAATAGTCAGTATATTCTGTACTCTGAATATTCTCTATCGCATTGTATTACTACTATTGATACGGGGTCAAAGTAATGGTTAGGTGCAAAACTGTCACAAATCATGCATCTGCTGCCTTTTTGTTGTCCACAAGACCAATAGTGGGAAATATGTATCGTGAAATCGTGAAATGTTTGTCCACGTGAAAATTTTATCCTGATTGCCAGAAGCTCCATGAGTTCGGCTTACTATAACAGCAATGGTAAGTATACAAAACTTAGGTAATATTTGCATTACGGTTCATGAGCGCTTTTAGCGTACCTTTACTTAATTTAGTAACAAAAATAAGAGTAATTTTTTCTTACCTATGGGAATTTCGCAAATATAAGCTAAATTCTCAGAACTAGGGATGTCACAAAATAGGCTCTGGGTACCATTAATAGTCTGCTTGCATATGTGAGCCACAGTTCCCCCACACTCTGGCTCGCCTGCCCATTTAGATATGTTCACAAGTTTTCCATTCACCCAAGTCCAATTTTCACCTTTTTTCTCCAAGCCAATGTACCATTTATCATAACGAGAATGATGTTTACAAGCACGTGAGCGGTTAGACATCGTAATGCGATTTTGAATTTCGTCACCGATGAAATTCCATTCTTCTTCTGTTTCAATGGAGACCAAATCTCCTCCTTGACTTTGGCAGATGCCTCTGTCCGTTGTCCAATTGCCTCCTTTTTTCGTGAATATATACCAAGAGTTTTGAAAAGACATGTTTGAGCATTCTATGAAATAAAAACAATGATAATAAAAATAATGACCATGATGATGGTAATAATGAGAAAACTACAAGGACAATCAAGGATACAAACAAACAAACAAAGAAACAAACAAACCAGCCGATAGAATGGCGTGTCTTTATTATTTTCAAAATTATTTGCTTCTTCGTCATCATTACGAATTTTTCATTGTTATTATGATTAGCATTTTCATTGTTATTGTAATATTGCATAGCTTGTTGATCAGTGTCATTTAAGAACCCGTCCTCTCTTATGCGTTTTCCTTCGAAAAAAGGTGGAAACATTTGAATACGCATGCATATCGTTTTAGTGTGGACAGTTCTATACGAAGCTTTTTGAAAACGATGACGTTGAATGACGTCATAGTGTCGTGCAACCTCTTTTCCAGGCCTCCCGTCTCAATAAATTCAAAACAAATATAGCAGAAGAGTATATGGATATGTTTTCGATGCTTAACTGGAGCTTAATATTGCGTTCGTCCAGGCACACACAGATCGATGCGTAAGCAGGTCGCATGAAGTCATGTATGTGTTTTGAAGTGTTTTCGTGTGGACATTAAAAAACGCTAGGAAAAGAATAGCAGTATCTCGATTTTTTGGAAAATTCATTTTCCAGAGAAATTTTCATCAGATCAGTTCTAGGAGGGCATACTTTAGCATGTAATGTACTTTATTGGTGAAATGATTATCTACCTTCGGGCATTTCACAAATGAAGGCGTTGATTTCGGACCGAGAAATTTTGTTAAAAAGGCTTTCATTCTTGGATATTTCCGCACGACCTTTTTTCTCAGAATCTCGCCATTTCGAAATATTCAGTTTTTCTCCACTTAACCAAGTCCAGGTCTTGTTGTTAAATCTTAAACCAATGTGCCACGCACTAGTATTCCAAGAAGAACGTTTTTGAATTTCATCATTGATAAACTGCCACTCTTCTTGAGTTTCGATAGAAACTAGGTAACCTCCCTGATATTCGCACGCTTTTCTGTTCCTCCACCAACTTCTTCCCCATTTCGAAAATGTGTACCAGGAAGTTTTGAAACGTGTCTCCTGGCATTCTTGTACAAAATAAATAAATAAATAAATAAATATACCAAAATAAGTAGATTATATTGATGATAGAAATAGTGATAGTTTTGATGATGATGATGATGATGGAGACGAAGAGTATTGATTATTATATTAACAATATTATTCATAAACAATGAGGATAAAACATTTTACCTCCCTAAAGCAAACATTGAAATGAATCTCGACTTTAAGAATGGAAATTGGGGAGATCTGGGTGGTGGTAGTGTTATTCTTTAAGTTTCATGTTTTGTTTCCAGTTCGTGTTTAGTATCACAAGCGGAATTTCTCCTTTTTTAAGTTCTGTTTTAGGTATATAAATGTTAAAGTTGGAATGGCGCTGTCTTACCTGTTCCTTTCCATTGCATCATTAGAGTAACAATGACTGCAGAAGAGGAATAAAATAGACATGTGCATTGATTTTTTGTTGCATTGATATTTGAAACAAATAGAGAAATGTTTCTTGATTTCAAATGAAACAATTACTAATAAATTAATAAATGTATTTCCACTCGCATGTAACTGGTCTAAGCGTGTGAAGTGACTGGATGGACTCTCACAAGTCTGGCAAATAGGCTCATCTTTCTTGCTTGGGTAGCCAATCAGAACATAGGATTTGCTAATTCAAGAGTGATTTATTATTTTTGCGTCGTTGGAGAAAAAGAAATAAACTGCATTGCTTGTTGTCTTGTAATTCATCGAAGCTCAAACTATTGAAAGGATCCTCTCAAGTGTAGCCCATACCAATAAATTACAACAAGAGAAGCCTATAAAAAAAAAGTATCCGGTTTCACTATTTTGCCTCGCAGTAATTCGATGAGGGCTACAAACAAACGGGTAAGATTTCACGTGCCTACCCAGAGTGATGTTGATATTAGTGCCTCTAAGCCTTTCTTTTCCGTACTCTTTTAACTTTAGCTAACCTTTCATGAAGATTCCATCGTTCTTCCAGTCATTCAGAGATCAAAATATGAATTAAACAATTATTTGTTAGTTGAAAAATGTTCGGTTCTTGAAACAGATTTGGATGATGTCTGCAGATAGTTTTATGGGAATACCGTGCGTATATTTTTTTAAATTTTTGTCGTGCAACATCCGCAAAAGAAAAAGGGGTTGAAAAGTAATGAGAATTGACATGCAAACGATCCAGTTTCGCCTCAAAACTGTCTCGATAGATTGATTAGAAGATTAACCAAACATTTTTAAGCTTAATTGAATCCGAAGTTTATAAATTAACATTTGAAAGCCACATAAAAATTCATTGAAAATAAAGTTATCGAATGCGACGAATAATGACATACTGCTGCAGCCATGGGATCGATGCAAAATATAAATATTGTAATATATATATATATATATGTTTATATATATAACTCATTTATTGCTACGAGGTTTCGGTGTCCGCTTGGGGAAAAACCGTTTTACAAATCAAACGAACGAAACTTCCTTTTCATTTCGCAAAATACTTTTCATTTCGACTCGTGAAATTTATTTCGTATTTTATTCATCGAAAGACGAACTTTTGTCAGGCGCTCAATAGATTTATGCGTATCTCCCCGGTGACGTCCTGTGAAGGTAGCTTCAGAGGATGATGACTGAGCTATTTTGGTTTTTTTGATGCTAAATATCTGTGCTAAAAACTGTTTTGATAACCGCCAAGGCAGAACAATAATTATGAAAAACAATGACGACTTCATTTTTAAAACTGCATAATTATAATTTATATATGCTATTGTGTCGAATTCTTTTCAAATCATTTTGCATCGTTTTGAAGCTAAAATAAAATTTAAAAACACACATATATCGCCTGCATTATTTTTACTTTATACCTTACTTATTCATTCATTTGTTCACAATCTGAACTTGTTTTGTTATCAAGAAGCTGATAACCTCCAAGTGAAATATCCTTTTCAGGTTTGATCTTGGCTAAGGCCGCTGGCTGTCCTGCTACATTTCTTCATCATAGTATTTACTACTAATTTTACTTTTACAAAGCATAATCAATCGATGTAGTAAGGCTTGTACTTACTCAGCGAACAAAGGGCTGTGATCATTATACCGGATTGAAGCCCTTTCATCGCATCATTCATCATAAGATTCCGTTAGCAGTTGTCAGTATGCTTATTTTGGTTCGTGACTTGGTGGCATCTCTTCTGCTTCACATGTCAGTGTATTTCAAATCCCTTTATAGGAGGCCGAGTGTAATGGACATCAAAACACTCGATCGTTTCTTGATGACGTAAGTCAACATTTATTTTCCCTTTATAAACGCACCAATAAGTCTAAGGCTTTTTGCACCAGGTGCGGAAAGATATTTTGTGCAATAAAAACAAAAAAAAATTGCGAAGAGAAAAAACTTTGTTAATTTTACCTTTCGTAATAGCGCAGATGATGTAGCGTTACTCAGTTAATTTTTTAACTCTTTAAGACTAATTTATGAGTCAAGTTTGGCGATAGCTATCGTTTGCGAAGTACTTACTCGAACTAAACTCCGCTTTCTTCTGCACATTGTTTTATTTTAATTTTCATAAATGAGATGTATGACTTAGTATTAAATGAAGAACTTCGTTCTGCGCAGTTCAGGTCATACATGTACATGTATTTTCAGCGTGATATCTTGTCACAATGACTTAAGAAGGTTGGTAACTGGGTTCTTGTGTCCCTGACACCCTACGATTACCACGATGGTCGGTTGCCATGAGTTTTCCTCCCTTAACTCTGATGCGCGCTAGCGCAGAAATCGTCAGCGGCAGTTGGCACGAAAAGTAAAGGCCTATTCAAAAATGGCGACAAATAATAACAGCGCGAGCAAATCAAACAAATTCTGTTTAAGGCACTTCGGCATGGAGGAAGAAACAGAGAGAGGAGACCGGTTTTGGAATACCAACTCCGTAGAGATGAAGTTCTCTACGGAGAAAGAATGGTTGCGGAGGGTTCGTTTCGCAGAAAATAAACCTAATTACGGGATGAGAGACCTTGATCCCGTGTTGGAAGAACTCACAGGCAACAAGCTGGAGCTTGTAGGTCCCTTGGTGGATGGCTTCCTAAAGGAGATCGGGCTCTCTATTAATGCGAAGCTCGCTCGCTCTAGAATGACCGGTCTTATGGCGCCCATCACTCTCTTTATGCCATTTCAAATCTTTAAACATATCTAGGTTTTAGTACAAGGCTATGGGGGAAGCGCGCACACAACCAAGAATGGTGAGAGAATAACGCTAACTTTCCAAAGGCTCGACACTGCAGAAAAAATTTGGTCTCCCGCGAGATTTAAAGGAGAGAATTTTCTCAAGAAACGGCACTTGGAGAAAATCCCCGAGGATGGTCGCGTGCTTCAAAGTTACAGCGGCAAGTCAATTGTTATTCTAAAACAAACTACGCCGCTGCATATGGTTTATTCAACAAAACAACAAAGGGTAGTAACAACATTTTGCGTGCATCGCTATGATCGAGAAGGATTTGCAAAGGACTCAAATTTGCAAAAGCTATTGAATTTGAACACTATCTAGCTTGACAGTTAATTAACAGTAGGACTTGCTAATGTTTTGTTAGACCTTGTCACGGAACTTCATACATCCAAAGAATGACAAGAAGTGTCAAGAAGTGGGAAGAAACACTCGACTACGTCTCGTGTTTCTCCCTACACTTCTTTCGTGCTCTAGCCGCTTCCTGCGTGCTTTATAACAGAACAGAGCACAGTCAAGGCTTCTCTATTTGTTAAACAGAATTACTCCTTTTAGATACAAATTTCATTTATCTGTGTATACTTCATCTTACTCTTAAAACTATCAAGCTGCAAATTCGTGTACCTTTTATTTAAGACAAATCCGTTACTAAAACAAATGTATTGTGTCCACATAAGCAAAATGCCGTTGATTAAAAAATAATTCAACTACCCCTCCCCAGCCAATGCACCTTCAAGGCGCTTAATTAGAATTTCCTTAGTACCTGCAGTGCTTAATCCTCTATTTCGTAAAGCTTCCTTTAAACTAGGTAGTGTCATCAAAGTTGGCTTGATAGCTACCTTTCTTACCTCAGTGACATTGCAGAACTTTAAATGAGACGATAATGATAGGTTATCAGCAAAGCGAGTACTGCACTGTTTACAGACAACAGGTTTTAGTGCACACAACACTGATTCTGTCAGACCTCTGCTGCTTGCACAAGTCACAAGGTTAATACTAGAAAAACAAACTTGACAACTGAGTAAATCGTTTTCTTTATTTCTACAACAATTACAAACATTTGATTGGTAACAGTGTGGTGGAGAACGTGATTGGTAGTGTGAGGTATAAGAAGAGGGCATTGGTTGATGTTCTGGGAGGTAAAATGAGCGAACATAATTACTTCGCATTACTTGCCAACATTTACCAGTGGCAGTACTTACATTTGACCGGTTAGTTATGGTCAAATCTTTCTTCACTCCAGAATGTTTGGCCTCTTTAGCCTGCAAGGAGACAATGCCATAGCCCACCCCATACCCTGTAAACAGTAAATTTGCATGATAGGGAATGGCATATCCAATTGCCCATGTTGTAACATTAACACTGGATGAAAAAAAAAAGACATCAGGTTAAAATACATACTACACATTTCTTTCAGTTCTGCAACCTGAGCAGAATTGGTCTCTATTCTATTAAAAAGCCCCCCAGCATTCCTCAGATACTCACCTATCTTGCTAAGAGCCAGTCGTTGGATTCTTTGTGCCTCTGTTTCATCTTCACTTTCTAAAGTGTCAACTAAACGGTAGTAATATCGAGCCAATGCAATAGCTTGATTGCCAATAAGCCTAACTGGTAACTTGTTATACCTGTTAGTTTCATCACTAAAATGTTCTTTTACTCTTGAAGCCAAGTATCCCAGTCCACATCCCCCCCCCCCCTTACCTGTTGCATGCCTTACATGAGGAAAACCTGTCTTCTGCAGGTATTTTTTAGGTCCTCCTCTGATTTCTGCAACATTTCCTGCTTTCTGGCACGCTCCCCAACACTGTCTATATCAGAAACCCTCAAAAGAGTCCTTTGGGGTTTTCCCTCCTTAACATCTCCATCTCTATTCCCTATAGGTGCTGCCAGGGCAGAAACAAAAGGATCAAACTTTCCTCCTCTTACTGCCTCTAAATATAGGAGATCAATATAATGCTGCCAGGCATTGATCTCACAGTGCGTGGGTTCTGGCCTTAACTTGTCTGCAAAATGCCCAATCCTTGGGAGACCTAACTGTCGGATGCCATTTTCAGCCATAAACTGCAACTTTCTGGAATTTTTTTTTTTTTTTTTAAAGGTTTGGAGGAAGAGAGGCGATAAAATTGTTTACCTTCTCAGTATTAGAGGTTCTCATTTCCATAGTGTAAGGCTTCCAGGTGTCATCTTTACCCACTCCAATACCTACCCCCCATAGTGTTCATGTTTCCTTTATGAACATTTGCATATGGGGAAGGATATGTAGCTGCCTGGTTGAGTTCATTGGCAGCCCAGCTCTGCCAGGACACGTCTGCTCCTGGCTGAAATTCAACAGTGCACTCCTTATCACAAACAGTCAAAACATTACCTTCCAACATTTTCGTCTCTTCAGTGTGCTGCTTCCAGAGGTCATGCATTATTTGATCTTTCTCTTTTACACTTACACAGTGGAGGAGGTACTGGAAGTCCCTACTTCGTACCTGATCTCCAAAGTTCCAACACACCATACTTCCTATTGTCAGCTCATTTGTTTCAGGAGCTCCATCATCTGAGAACTGAAAAATAAAATGATTTTCATTTTCATTGAACCAGACAAGTTTACGAGAAAGATGGGGAACTCTCAAGTGCAAATCAATAATCATAAACACCAGGCCAGTGACTGTGCGAGAAACACCTGATACCCCTGGGATCTGTGTGACATGACCAATGTCTAAACTTTTCACAAACTTGTCAACATTGTCATCTGAGAAGCTGCGCTTGGGTAACCTTAAGTCAACTCCAAGACATTTAATGTTACCTGGCAGCCAGACTTCTTTTTTAGCATTAAAAAATGAACTTTGTGTTTTACAGACAAGATTATACTTTCTTCTAGACAAATAAATCTGATATTTAAGTGCCACAGACTGTTTCAGAACTTCTTCTGACTTCTGAAAATCATTAATGGCTCTCTCAAAAATACCCTGAAGAAATCGGCCCCTCTTATAACTACTCGTTAATTTGGTCATGGTTTCATTACTTGCATTAGCAGCCAAAAATCCCATGCCCCATACAATGAAGCTTCAAAACCCCCATGAATAAATTCTAAAATGTTTTTAGTTTCTTCCCTTCTCCTATATCTAGTGCTCGACTTATAATCATTAATCATTTCATATGATGTGCTAGCAGCACTCCTTCGTCTTCGGGAATAATCCTTCTGCTCCAACAGCTTTTTCACTTTCTCATATACCTGCTTTAGTTCTCTCAGTGTCTCGTCTGCTTCACTTATTTCTTTGTCTAGTGTCTCTTTCTCTCCTTTTGATTTTTGCAGTGCTATTTCTATAAAAAACGATAGGGAATCATCATCAAAATAATGACAATTCCAAAACGGCAAATAAATGAATAGATAGCAATCAATTCCGTTTATCTTGCCGCAACTGGCCCATTTACAGGTAGGAAACTAACCTGATTCCTCCACTAGAGCATCTGTCTCCCTTTGTAAAGCCAAGATATCTTGCTCCTTCTTGGATAAAGCATCTTCTTCGACTTGAAGATGGCGAAAGTTGTCTTGGATCGTTAGGCGCTCCTTATGAATGTTAAAAATGGGCGATGTTTCCCAGAAACGATTTACTTGTCGTTTCGAATCACATTTGCCCACATGGCCTTGCCCTTTGCTGCATTTTCGGCTTTTTCCGCAACATTTACGGTCTCCTTCAGGGCTACGGATGAAATAAAACACTCGACATTGAGCCTGAGGAAATTCAAGATGGCGGCCTAAACTGATCAACGGAGAAAATCGAGTTTACAGGACATTTTCTTACCTGGATTCCTCCGAGGAAATCGGCGAAAACGACGCCATTTACACCAAAGTCCACTTTCAACTTTCGATTTATGGCACGCTCGGTAACTAAACGGTCAAAATTATACTTTTTAGGAAGGAGGACAGATATTTTGGGTTTATTTTCTTCGTTTTTGTTCTGCGTTTGTCTTAACAGTGGAGCCGCCTAAGTAAAATATTGTTCTCTCAGTCCCAGGACTCTAGAAATACAGAAATCACAACGGTTGTGTTGACGTATTGGCTTCTGTAAACCCGTTGCTAGCCGGTAGCGTACCTATCTTAGACGAGCCGTTTCGTGGAGAAGTCAGTCGAAAAACCTGATTTTTTCTTTCTTCTTCCATAAGTGAAAGGCCATAGTCATTCAATATGAAAAAAAGAAGGTTGGTAAGCTTTATCCAATGTAAAATAAACGACTGAAAAAAGCCCTTTAGCTTGACGCCTTAAATCAGCTCAAGCCGTGAACGCGTCGTCACGTGACCTCTAAGATAGCAACGGAAGGAATTTACATAGCAACCAACCATCGTGTACTTCTGACCGAAGGTGCTGTACCGAACATCAATTAGGACGCAGCAAAAATGAAATAAAACGAACACTTCAGTTTTAAAGTCGCATAATTATTAAATAATTGTGGCTAATTGTTCCAGATCAATTTGCTTAGTATCGAAACCAAACACTTCTTAATGGCAAAAGGAACTCAAAAATATCCATTCCATTATCTTTATTTATTTGTTATATTATGTAGGAGTGGGTTAACATAATCGAAACCTGTAATAACCCTGTTGCGGCTGGTCAACGCGCAGCCGGCGCCTTGGTTTCCATACGGGACATCAAGTTTTTCGTGCATGCGCGGTGTAGGCATCCTTGAACGATGCTACGAGGCCACCAAATTAAAACCTCTTTATCTCCTTCAGTTTCTCGACTTTTTGGTCTCAATTTTAGGTTAAACAATGTAACATTTGGTGGGAGTTTTCACAAAGCCTTTGTGAAGGATTTTGGATCAAAGATTTGTGTTCTTTACAGATAGTCACCGTTCTCGGCAAGAAACCCAATCCTTATGACAAGTGGAGCATATAACATGACAAGTATTTTTGTTCTCTAAGTTTACATTCTCTCGAATTCAACAACAGAATTCTGTAGGTTACAGGTTATTTTCTCAATGTTGTTAAATTAACCGTTAATGAGTAAAAAACAACTCACTCAACAAAGTCATTGATGATAGGACTATTCCCCATATCTGACAAAATTTCGTCAACATTTCCTTTTTTTCTGTGAGGGTTGATTTTCTGTCAGCATTATGTTACCCCAATTCTGATCTTTTTCCCTGTTTGGCAGTATCAGATTGATTGAAATTACTTTTTTGTAAACCTTTCAAGATCACCCTCTTGCTGAAAGGATAAGCTTTTAGCGTGTGTTGTTTGTAGTCAACATCATCCTTCTGTTACTGAAGAAATTTTGCAGGAAATTGAATGACATGTCAATTCTTGACGTCTTTTCTAAGGTTAAATTCTTTGCACCTGCTTAAACTAAGCATGGCAAAATAATCAATTAATTTCGAAAGAAACTGTTTCATTTCGTTATTCGTAATTCTTTTGATAGAATAGACTGCGATCCACAATCATGCAGGGAGACAAAAAAAAAATTAAATAGTTGTGTTATCCCCAATCTCGAGAAAGTAACTATCTTGTATCAATTAGGACAAAAATTGCTAATGTTATTCTCACGGTTACTTACTCACTATTAAGATTCCTTGTTTACTTTCCTATTGAAATAACACTCTCGGTGTTTAAAAAACTCGAACCGGTACGGAACAAATATGTCTCTACTTGAAGTAATTTACTGATTTTAAAATGATCCTACAACTTAAATGATGACGCTACCTTAACTTTCTCTGCCGTTACTTTACCTTTCGCACCTGCTCTTCTCCATGAACACTCAAATATCATCTTTTAATTAATTTAATTCATTTTGGATACATTAGTTTGGAATTATTGGTTATGCAGACCATTCATTATCACACTATCATTATATTGAGAGAATAACAAGAAGCATCTCTGGGTCATTTCGCTTAAATGAGACGTGAAAGGTATCGATCTCTGTTGCTCAACGACGGATGTGTTGACCTATATTCCGTTGCATCAATAATTATGAGCAATGGTGATGAAAAGTTTTCGTGCTCCTCGATATATGTCTGTACTTATATCTTGCAGAAGAAATATCCTTTAAGAATCGCCACAAAGCTCTGATATCTCATCTATTCTCTTCCTTATGCAACGAGAGGACACAAAACAGATGGGTGTAACTAGGTCTCTCGAGCCCCCTCCCTCCCTCCCTTCCCCTTTTGAAAGGTGGGGGGAAGTGGGGATGTCGGGGTTATGAATTTCCGCGCGCGCGGCTCACGTAAAGGGGCGTTAACTTATCTCTAACGGGCTTATAATCACACAGTGGAAAGGACTATTTAACATCTCAGAAGATTTTGTGTCATGTGCCTCCTTAGAATTCACGCCGGCAACCGTGGCAATGGCTTCATATTTAAAGAAACAAACCAAAAAACAGACAAAAACATAACAGAGCAACATAAACACTCACTCAAGAGGGTGGTTGAACTTCTTGGGCATCTTAGAATCTTCCCCTGGGGAGATGGGGTTAGGGGGGAGAGAACGAAGGGAAGGTGGTTAAGACGGATCCTTCTCTTCCACCCTGTATTGGTTTACTCTGGGCATTGACCAAAACCCAGAGGCAGTCCTCCTTACGGGACAGTGGAAGTTTGTTTCATTGCTTCTCAATACACCGATTTTAATCCAAAGTGGTCAAAAGTGACTCGACAGGGTACAATGTGCCTCGTCTCATATATATATATATATATATATATATATATATATATTAATAAACAGTGGTTTAAAGGAAATACAGTAAAATGTGTACTAGTGTTAAACAAGTGAGACTTGAATGTATGATACGATTTTAGATAATCGACTCTCATTTTCTCTCTTGTGAATCCAGTTATTTAAGCTAATTTTTTTTTAAATTCCAACTTATTTTAAGACTGCAATTCAACTGCTCACATATCACCGACATCACTTGGATTAACCTGTGAGCTTTTCCTTGTGGATTTTTCATTTTTACAGATGGAAAAACAGTATCACTTAAAGTCGTTTAAATTAAATTACTGAATACTGTATGGCACTATTCTTTGAAAGACTGCAATTCTACCGCCCACATTTCGCCGGCATTTCTTGGATTAACTTGTGGGCCCCTATTCGCAGAATTTCCATGATCTACAGCAGATGGGAAAGTAATGTTCGTCTTCCTTTTCAATCGCTCTCTAATCTGCAGATGAACAGGCGACCAAATATCAAATGTTCACCACCAAAACCTTTATTAATGTCTAGCAAATTTACAATTCGTCTTATGTACATCCTCGGTTTGATATTCATCTTACCTGGCTGTTCCGCGCACAATGAAGAACGAAAATCAGGATTCCCTGAAACAGATACTTATATCAGTATTACACTTTTTGTAATCCGGGTGATAAAGGTGATAACGGTATGATCGTTTGAGATGAAACCACAATAAAGGTGGCGAAAGAATGAATTAAAGCAAGTCGCATATCTTGTAGACCAATAAAGATTGTCTGCTGTTGGGTAAATTATTTTGAATAGGCAATATCATCTAACCAAAAGGGTCTTTTTTAGGTAAAAGAGTAGTTTGAGCATTTAAGTATGTAAACAGATTACTAAAATTTAATTATAGACTAACTTTTATTAAAAGCTCACCTGAGTAGAGCTGAAAATGGTGAAAAGGTAGGCGAAAGCTTTGTGTGATGATAACAAAAGACCAAAAAGCCATGTGACACCCAGCAGTGGAATCATCACCGAGCATGTTTTAATGCCAAGTCTAAATAACGAGAACAATATATGAAGAGGATCGATTAACCGTTTTTTTCTGTAAAGTGATATAACCTTTTTTTTTCAAAATCGTATTGCTTCATCGTTGCAGACGAACGGGAGTGTAATCTAGGCAAATACTGCTAGACTAAATGCGGCAACAATTTTATTTCATTGCTCGACGAGTCCTTGTAGAAACTAGTTATTATTTACCTTTCCCCCCTGAATTTTAACTAGTTTACCACAATTATCTAATAAATGTTAAATTTGAAAACTTCCCGTATCTGCTGTATATGGTTGTCTTCCCCCGCGGGTTGCGTTAATGTACTCATCTCCTTTATTACTCGGACGAGTATCAAAATGTTGAGCTGAAAAAAATAAGGAATACTAAATATATCGCCGAAAACAGAAAAATTGTCATTCGTCCTGTTACGAGCGTTTGAAAAAAGAAAATTCTGAATCTTTACAAAAAATGAAACCCCCTGTTTTCAGCTAACCAACGCGCTCCTACGTCTCTATAATGAGCAGCATGAACCCTGTGCTGCGCAACGCTATTACTTGGTTCATACGCAGGCCAAGAGGAATGGAAGTTAGAAAAACACAAGGGAATATCAATTGGAGTTGATATTCTTTTGAAAGACGGTAAACGTTTAGTAATAAAAATCTCTAATAATAGGCAGTCCTGGTATAGGAAATAACAATAATAATAACTACAATTATAAAAATATAATAATAATAATAATAATAATAATAATAACAATGATAACAACAACACAGACTCACAACTTCAATGACAGCTACAAATATGACGAAGATCCAGATCAGGTTGTTAGATGAGGACAGCCAGCAACTGGAAACGAGTATATAAAAAAAGTTAAATTCCAGAAAATAATCTTCAGAGCATAACACAAATCAAACACAACTGCACCATAAAACAAGGCAACTCCAAGTGAAAACAAATGGAGTGATAAAGGAAAACTGGGAAGAGATCTTAACAACAGCAATGCGTCGTGAAACGCTGATTATTTAAATAGAAAAGAGAGAGAGGATGAGAGAGAAGGAAGAGGAAGAAGAGAGAAGAAACTGCAGCTGTATTATTTACTGTTTCTCATACTATTTTTCACTGGTATAGCTTTTAATTCCATCTTTTCCAGCAGCGATGCTTATTGAAATGCTAACCATGATGATGGGCAAACCTAAACATAAGTAGAATGAAGTTAGTGCAACTCGAGAAGTCATACGTCCGATTTTGAGGCGATTCCGATTCAGCAGCTTACAATAATTTACAACAAGTGAAATAAAAATACCCCATGATATGAAGTGATACATATGAATCTTGGTGTTGATGTTATAAACTTTCACAAGAAATAGGAAGGAATAAATTCCCTCCACCAGCACCCAACAGAAAGCTGCCATCAGGAAATACTGCAATAAAGCTGCTGCTAGGACACAGAGAGCCTGCGAGAGAGAGAAAAAAAATTTTGTCTGTTTTTCATATTATTTTCTAAAGAATATTTTATGCCCCTAAAGAGCAAATAAACCATGAATAGATAAATACAACACTTACCGTATTTTCTGTGGCGTTTATGCCGGCGAGAAAGATTATTTGTCCAGCTCCGAGGGCTACAGAAAGACTCAGTCTTATTTGAGTCAAAGGTTGCCATACGTCTCTAGTGAAAGAGGTAAGTAATAAAAATACAATCAAACAAACAGGAAAAAAAACAAACAAACAAAAACTCAAATACCAGACAGAAGCAAAAACAAAACGAAAATATATTTGACAAGGTATTCTATTAATTTTGTACTGTACTAATTTAAACATCTTACTTTCGCTAATAAATTTAATTTATTCCTATTCCATTTTAATCATCGTTATTCTGCTATTATTGTTATTATTTTATTTGTTCAATATACTTTTTAATTTAATCGATATTTTTTTTTAAAGAACTTGTCCGTTCTAAGCCCTAAATCATTTAAGGTCATGCAAAGACTTTGTTCTTTGATCGTATGGTTACAGTACTTACGTGAGGTAGGAATATAAAACAATTGTCAAAAGAATCGCGAATATGGAAAGACTCAATCCTACGTAGGTGATAATTTCATGAATAGTTTCGTCTTCCACAGTGAGCTGTGAAGAGAGATGAATAGTCAGTGGATTCGTTACTTAATCCGATGAAATTTTATTACCAGTGCTAAAGGTAAGGTGAAAATCAATTCATTACCCCTGGGCTACCGTTGTAGTCAAGTAAGACAGCAAAATGAGTCAAATGATTGCAGCTGCAAACTGTTTCTTCTGAGTTGCTTTTCGATGTGACCACATGGCATCCTGTCTCTGAAAATCCGCCTGGGCTGAAAATAAAATAACAACAATGATGATGATAATGATGATGATGATGATGATGATGATGATGATGATGAAAATATAAATCGAAACAGCCCCGAAAACTCATCAGGGTACCGATGGGTTTATTTTCTGTCTTTCTTTCGCTGAGTTCATATCCTTTACACATCGTCGAGTACTTTCGAATTTGACGTTTGTCGACGTCTTTTCCCTGCCACTTATGGATATGCCTTTGAGGGATCACGGTCAGCACTTCCTAACTGAGGAAAATGGTATGATGATGATACTGTAATTCAGGCTATACACAATTCTTAAATAGACTCGTGAAACATTGATACACCCTAGCTTAGGTGAAAAAGCAAACAAGAAAACAAGCAAGGCTAGAAACACAGAAACAAACAAAAACACACATACCACCAAACAAATCAATGAACATATAATAAAAATAGGCGGAAGGAATTTATAAGCAACGGATAGATATGGCCATTGAAAGAGAAAAAAAAACAGCAAAAATAAAAACTTCCGAAAAAAGCAACATTTAACAAATCAATGCCTTCATTTTAAAAAGAAACAGATTGACCTTGAAAGGCCTTTTTAGAATGTGAGGCAAGTTTCAACGTCTCTTCAAAGTCGAGTGAGGAATTATGGACGGTTAATAATAAAACTAGAAAAACACCCATTTAAGTGTAATAATCATTACATTTTTCTTCATAATTTTAGAAGAATCAATTACTCCTGGAACAGGATGAAAAATACATTCCAGCTGTTACCTTTCACTTAAGCCACTCCAAAACATGCATTTCTTCTCTCCTTCATGAACCTATACTCGGAATATAAACATTGAAATCATGTACTCGGAATAAATATCACAACGTAAAACAACTCAGTTTGATCGTGTTCTTACCTTCGTATTTCTGAACCTTAAAATGACATTCTCTTGTAATTTTTCTGGTTTTGGATCTATAGCCACGGCCGTTATCCCGGAGGTCAAATACCTTCGTAGGAAATAGAATATCGATGTGAAGCATATCAATTTGAAGCATAGTAATCATTTTAATGAAAATAGCAAGCTAGGAGCCTATACAAACCAGTGTTACTTAAAGGCTAATTTATCAAACACGGAAAAGATCATTGAATAGGGTTAAAAAAATTTACGACCTCATAAGTTCAACCCCTTGAGTTTCTATTTGTATTCTACGTGTATTTCCGATGGAAAGGGCATGTGGTTAAGAAACTTTAGGAGGTAAGCTTACCTTGTGGTGCCCGTTATGGTTCTGAAGGGTTGATCTGTAACTAATACTTCATGGAGATCCTTGTACACGATCCCAACAACTACTGATACTAGAAAAGTAAAAAAAACAACTGGCTACAACATGACTATATGAAATCCAAGTTGCTAATGCAAATATCTGAATCAAACAGATTATGTAAACCAACAAACAAACTTGTAAAAAAAAACTGCAAAGACTTGTAGAGGAATAAAAAAATGTGCTTTGTTCTAGCACATCAAGGATTTAAAAACTGAAGTCAATAACAAACCATAGTCAGCAAAGTTTTTAGAAGAAACTTTCAGGCTCGTTTGAAGTTCTTGTTTTCCAAGATAAAAGTCACTAGCATTTTTTCGGTAGGTTTTTTGTATGGCCAACTCTGTTGGAGAAAAAATAAATAAAGACGAAATTAAGGGTAACATATTTGCAAAGAAATATCTTTCGTGTTGGTCCGAAAGTAAGCCATAATCCAAATATGGTAATTACACTTGTTTGAAAGCAATGTATTCAAAACATAATCTTCCAAAAAGTACAACTACCATGAGATCATCAAGACATCGGAAAGCTGAGATTTTAGTGCTTTTCAACATTCTAATCGCTGAGAAAAATTGTCCATTATCACTATGATTAATCTAAAAAATGGTCAACGGGAAGGATGAACCGGCTTAACAGCACTGATCAATTAAATCATCAAAGCCGCCATGATGTCATTGGTCAAAGTGTCAGTCAATAAACAGTGTGAGTAACGGATTATTTAGAATCCGAACGAATGATCATGCTCTGACTCACCTAGTTTTCGGCTGTTTATCTCCACTGAAGAATTCGCTCCGATCATTTGGTGTTTGCCATAATTAAGGGCGAATAGCTCCAAGGCGACTGCCACCTTAAAGATGTAATTTCTTATTTTTTCGACTTCTTCTTTGGTAAGACGTTTTTGGAGGATTTGGATACTAGTGATGAAGTCTTCAAAAATCCGTTTAGCCTCCTGTAATAACATCACAAATTTTTGTTAAAAAAGGATGACATTTTAACAAAACAGTTTGAGGTAAAGGTAACGCATTAATTATACTAGCAAGGCCCATATTTCGTCTACTCCTAGTTAGATTATGAAAAAGAAATTGCTAAAGAAATGAATAAAAACCAAAAATGGGTAAGAGAACAAAAATCCTGCAAGATTGTCAAATGGTGTGTAGGATGTGCACAAGTTAAGGAAGCAATTATTTCACTCGTATCGATTCATATCTTATTGATGATAATAATAACGATAGTGATAATGACAATGTTGTAATAATCATCATAATGATAATGAGGACAATGGCGATAATGATACAGTCTTGTTTGCTCTTTTCAAATGAACTCGAAGTTTTTTTCAAGCTTAAAAACTGCTGTGTTGCATTGGTCAGTCTTTCTAATCATTGCACATTTCACGTATACTAAGTGGATTAATCATTAAAGATAAGCAAGTAGTAATTTCATACCATCAAGGACAAGATTCTATTCATTTCTTTTCCTTTTAGTTTGGAAACAGTTTTGTTGGCCTGAGATAAAGAAAGACAATAAAGTTGGCGAACAATAATATTGTAAATAAAAAGCTTGAGAGAAATACTTTGCTTACCAGATTCTTAATAACTTCCAACGTCCATGACAGAGGTGGCCGTAGAGACTGAGACGATGATGATCCTGCTGCCGATGTTTCCGATGATAATGACAATAATGATGATGATGCTGGTGCTGATATTGCTGCTGGCTTTGATAATGATGGTGATAATGCTGATGAAGATGCTGATGCCCCTGCTGTTGATGTTGCTTCCAATGATGTTGCTGATGCTGATACTGATATTGCTTCTGGCTTTGATGATGATGCTAATAGTGCTGATGTAGATGCTGATATCCGTGCTGGTAATAGTGCTGCTGATGGTGGGTGTGATGAAGATGATGGTAACGGAAAGATTAATGCTAACGATGACTGCGACATTGATTGTAAGAGAGCTGAATGTTGAAAAACATTTAACTGTTAAAATAAAATTGACGCTATGGTAGGGCGCGACGAATTTTAAAATAAAATATTTTCTATTTCTTTTTTAGAATCTTAAACACTACTTCGTAAAACAAAAAAAGAGTGTTGTAAGTATTCAAACTTTTATTGTACTCACTGTGAGCTTCTGTTCCATTTCCTGTTGAAATTTTAGTAGCAAATACTCGAATTGTTGAAGCCCCAATAGATGTAACGATATTCGACGTGTATGAATCTGAAGTGATGGAGTGATTGTCACACATCTGCGTACAATCGTTAGCGTTAAAATGCGTAATGCACTCCCGTACTTTGTCTGTGCAGCTTTGTGTTTTACATCTTCTCCCGCTGCAGGTCAGGTTACATACTTTGGCATCGCAGATTTGTTCACAATACTGGCTGTTACATACTAGATGCATTTCACATATATTATCTTCACCTTCGCACTTTTGTCTTCTACAGTTTTTTCCGGTACAGTTCAGATTACATTTTTTAGCCTCGCAGAATTGTTCACAATCTTCACCGTCACATTCTAGATCCATTTCACATACAGTTCCTTTACCGTGACACTTCTGTATTTTACAGTTTTTCCCGCTGCAGTTCAGATTACATTCGTTAGCGTCGCAGTTTTGGTAACAATCTCTACCTTCACATTCCAGATCCATTTTACAGAACTCAACTCCAGTATAGCACGTCTGTTTACACCCTTCCCCCTTGCATTTCATATAACAAAAATAATTACCACTGCTGTAATTCCCGAGCGGATAACAGTGATCGCCTCCATTTTCACTTCTCGAGTAACATTTATTGGAATCGCAATCTTTACTACCCAGGGCAAAACCTGAAACAATAAAAACAAGAACAGAACCAAAAATTTATGAATTCTAAATATGAACATAATGATGGCGATAATTATGAAGAATACAAAGGTATAGCGAGACCTTATTGGGCAAATAAACAACTTTAAACCACTGTTGCATAAAACTGCTGAATATGATTTTCATGGAAACTGCCATTATAGCAGAGTAATTGCAAGCACCATTTCGTTTAAACCGAATCTTCAACCACCGCGAAGCTGACAGAGGTTTCGAATATACAAGTTAATACAAAGCGGTTTCTTTAAAAACTAACTTTCTAGATAGGTGAAATGTATCTCAGTATTTTTTCTTGTTTTGTATCACTAAGATAATTTATTTATATTTATTTATCCGTGTATTTGTCTATTTACTTCAATTTTTTATATCTTATTACTTTTTGCTAAGATAGGCGGCCCTTGTAAAATTAAAGAGTGAGCCTTCTTTCCATAACTACGTTTTGCAACTTAGGAATTGATAAATACATAAGGGCATCCCTGGGTTTAAAGAACATTTCCGCGTGACGTCGTTGGCTCCTCAGATATTGTCTACAGATTCACGAAAAACTACACACCTACGAAAATCTGACTCATATAAAAACTTTTAAGGAGAAAACAAGACTTCAAAGACTTGAAATGATATTGTTAAGCTTCCAGGCTCGGTAGTTTGTGAAAGGTGAGAGGCGACCTAGATTTCGACTATCTTTCTAGCCATTACAGAATTTACATATCTTCAAATTGGAAAAAAACCCGGGCTTAAAATATCCCATCGCAAATTGCATGTTTGCGCTGAAGCTTCACTTTTTCAAGATAAACACACGAGTTAGAACAGGCTTTAAGCCTGTATCTCAATAATACACAGGTAAAATGGCTCCATGAAATACGTCCCCTATAATATTCCGTATTGGCTTCCTAAAAAAAAGCCTATGTGGCCATCTGCCACACAGGCTAATCTTAAACTATTTTAAGTTTTAGCGGTCTTTGTTTGCGCTCAATTTTATTTCAAAGACTTTTCCAAGGGCATCCATGAGATGGACTCCTCGGAGTGCGCTTAGGATGCATTCTAAATGAAATCAATCTTTTAAAAGGAGCTTTGGTAC